TTTGAGTCAGAATCATCAGACCCGCTTTGATCTGATAAATCGTTATTAGCTTCAGCTTGTCCATCACTTTTTAAGGCTACTTTATATTTGACTAATAATTTAGGATGTGCCTTTTTCTTCGCCATGAAATGTAGCAATATTTCTGCTAATTTATCCTTAGGTTCTCCTTTCAAGCCTTTTAACAATGATTCCAACTCTGCAGTAGAATTATTTGCATCAGTAATATCGTCTAGACTTTCTGCTTGATTACCGTCTTTATGTTTTGCCTTTAGAGCTTTTAACAGTAACAGTATTCTAGCTCTTTTGTCTTTAGGTAGTCCTTTTAGTAGTGTGAGCAGTAATGATAATTTATTAGGTTTCCCTACTTTAGATGTCTCTTCAGAATCTTCTAAACCGAAAATTTCGAATTCGTGATCTTTATGTGCATTAGCAACTTCTTCGCTTGGAGTTTTATCTTCATCAGGTTGCTTTGAGTTAGTCAATTCTTTAATTACATCTTCTGAATCAGTGATTTGTTTTGGTTGTTCTACAAAATCCTTATTATTTTCTGTCGCTGAAGTAGCATACGAATCATCAGATGATACATGTTCTTTAGAAACAGATGCATTTGATTCACTTGACAGTAATGTATCGTTATGCTTATGGATATATGGACCAACTGTTACTTCATCTGAAACATTTTCAGTATCTTCGTTGTTTATTTGTGAACTTCCACCGTCTGTCCCTAATTTAGGACTAAGTGTAGCGACATATTCTTTGCTTTTTTCAACATCTACATCTATATTAGAATCATAATTAATTTGAACTAATGCATCATCATCATCGGTGCGTCGATCATCATGTTGTTGGTCTAATTCAAACTCGGGTTTCAAAGTAGTTTTTTCTGTTTCATTCGAGTCTTCTTTTTCTGATATAGGGTCAAAGCCACGTTCTAATTCTTCAGATTGATTGAAATCTAAAGAATGTTCTTTACTGTCGACTTCTTCCTTTTTATTGAAAATTTGCTTACCTTTTGAAACCACATCGACAACAGCATTAGGTTTAACTGGTACATCTTCATTTACTAGCGAAAAATCTTGAGAATCTAATCCATATAAACCAGACTCTTTTTGGTTTGGTTCTTGCTGATCTTTAAAAACGACTTTTTCTTCAAATCCTCCTGTGTTTGGTGGTTCCTGGTATTGCTGTTTTTCTGCTTTGTTATCATTTGACCAATAAATATCTGCGGGATTTTCAGTTACTGGTACTATTGGTGACAGTTTTGATTCTTCTGGTTTCAAGCCAAGAGTCTTAGCCTGTTTCGTACCGTCAACTGATCTCAGAATTGTTAGAAATAAATCCATCTTCTGTTTATCACTCAGGTTTTTATTATCCAAGCCGAAGTAACCTGCAGCGACTTTCCAAAAGTCCAAAAGGTTCGTTTTGGCATTCGCACACAGTTTCTTCACTTGTTCCTCAACTTGCGACGGCTCTAGTTTTTGTTTTTGAAATGTTTTTGACCCAAAACTTTCTTCGTGACCTGAATGTTTATCATTGTGTTCTAACTGGTATACCGTTCTTGATCCAACGTTTTCTTTATCATGTGAATCTTCATTATTATGTTCTAAATGGTACATAATTTTATTTCCTCCTCCATAATAATCACCATAACCCCTATAAGGTACAATTTTTTGCTGATATCTTGTATAAGGTTCATTTCCTGTGATTAGATCACTTTTTCCTTCCCCAGAGTGGATATTGCCATATTGGATCGCACTAATAACATCGTTATCTGGTCCATTTGCTTTATGTTTTTTGTTATTTACCACCTGAAATTATAATTTGATTCAATAAAATGCATCTGTTGACATTAAGTTCAAATAAGAATCAATAATCATATTAATTTAAAAGATAAATTTTGATCCACAGTAAATTTACTAATAATAATAAGATGGCATTAACTACGTTTTCCTCCTCTGGTGAATTAGAGGTTTGTGATTCTGTTAGTAGACTAAAAGACTAGATATTAATAATGATGATGATGATAAAAAATATTGAATACATACCACAAGACTCCATCCGCGTCGATTTTGATGACTTTTTTCCAAATCTTCCTTCTCATTCTTATTTTCAGTTCTGACCTCACGATTTTTATCATAATTACTGAAAGCCGAACGTCTAGTATCTTTTAGGAGTTTGACTGAATTGCCTTTATCACTTTTGTCTAAATATTCCAACAGAAATGGAAGTAATTCAGCTTCTTTAGAATCTAGAGGATGCTCCAAATACTCATGTTTGGTCTTTACACCAGTACCAAGTTTACTATTATCAGTTTCAGTATTATCTTTATTACTGTTTGTAGATCTTCTTCTGTAAGTGATTTTGACTCTTTTCGGTACAGTCGAATCGTGATTTCTATGTTCCAGACCACGTCTGCTCAAGAGTTCTTTTATTAACAACAGTGTTCCATCATTATTCGTTTGGCCAATTTCTGATAGTTGTTTGACATGATGGCTGCTGTGTATAACATCGGCCTTAGAATTGGAAGCGTGCTGTGAACTTGCGACCTGTAAAAAGATAACAATAATTATAATCTCTAGATACCTAAAAGATAAACATCGGGACAAAATTTAATTTATTAAAAGTCCTCCCTTTCATAGAAAAATAGATTTATAAGTTCGTAATCACGCGTCGAAATCGCTAAACTTATTTACTCTATTTCATCATTGAAATTAATAAAGTTCGTTAATAGTCTAGTTTCAAGTCTCAAACGAAGCTTTTTTCACAAGACGTGAATATACTTAATAATCCTTCCTTTCCAATGGGAAAATTAATGATTTACATTATACCTAATCCCAAAAAATCTAGGTAGATATTCCAGTTTTCTTATAAATTATAAGATATCCTTTCTTCTTTCTTTCCTATAAATACAAAAGAAGCACTCACCGAATAAGCCAACATCAAAACACCAAGCCACTGCACCACCATGTTTGCTCAGTGAAAAGAATTAACAAAACGTTTTATTTATACAAAATGGTGGTAAACACGAAATTACTCGCATGGCGCGAACGCGTGAGATGCATAAGCGTGTAATAAACTTGTAATAGACTAAAATTAGATTATAAATATTGTATACAGTCAATTTGTTTGGATACATAATTTGTGTATGTAAACGTAGTAGAGCAAATCATTGCTTTATTTGTATGCTCGAGTAATAAATCTACGTGTAGATTAAAGGAAGTCGCACATTTATCAACAAGGAAAGGGATCGTTACAACCGTATCATATCGAGGCGGTCAGTATTCTTTGTGTGAAACTCCATACTGCAACGCACACTTATCCACACCGTAACTTACGCCCGTATTCATAAACATTACTATGAGGTCTCACAGTGCGCGTGGACGCACAGGGTCACACATGAACCAAACACAGAGCTCTATTTAATTCAACGCTGTGCGTTCGATTTGCTGCTTCACTTAAGCAAGCATCGTTTGTGTACGAGCGGTAAACACCTCGACAGCGCGCGAAAGGCGATACGATGTTGATCCCTTTCCGAGTTGATAAGTCTGCTATGAGCTTAAAACACAATGTGAATTAAACAATACTAGCTTTTGCCCGCGACTTTGCTCGCGTGAAATTCAGTTTGTCACAGATAGTTATAAATTATAGCCTAAGTCTGTTGTATGTATAAACAATAATACTGTAGTTTCATCAAACCTTCAGTAGTTTTTGAGTGAAAGAGTGAGAAATATCGTAAGAAATTCGTTTATAATTCAATACTCAATAGTTTATTGTTTCCATAATGTTTACATAATTAGTAGGTTGTAATAAAAAATGTTTGTTTAAAGTAAAAATAAAACAAAATTACATTTATAACGAATTTAACATTTTATTTCAAATAATATGCTTAGAGACTATTTAGGTAAATATACTTTATTATTATTTATAATTGCACACGGTTTTTTCATAACAAATAAAGAACCAAAACGAATATAAACAAATTATTTGTATCACAATATACAAAAGCAAAATATACAAAATTGTCAAAAGAATTGCACTTAGATATTAGAAATAATACATGTTATTATTATGTATAAAATTTACATAGTATGTAAGCGACAGCTTGGTAAAATATATTGGATTCAGACCATAGTTGAATTTTCAGCAATATTTAAAAAAAATATGTATTGTGTAAAATAATATGGAATTTAAACTGATTTTGCCACTGTCTTTTACATCTTGTTTGATAATGTAATAAATAATTAAACAAAAAACATATAGGTACGTGAATCACTTATGTATACAATTTCGAACTTTGTCATTTTATTTTAGTTAAATCTAAATTTGGTTCATCCAAACTGAATATTTAACAAAAATATACATTTATAGGCACAGTCAATGATCCGTAACATCACGTGGGTGTTGCCATTCAATCCAAAGTTCAAATCTGAAGTGACTGTAGAAAATTGGACGCTAAACAAAAAGTCCATCAAGGGGAGACTGTCTAGCATCGAAAGAATCAAAAAACAATCATTTTAATATTAGAAAAATTCTTATTATTATCGATAGCAATGATTTATTGTATTGTATAATTATTATGCTGTTCACTGCTGTTGACATGAAATACACAGTCAAAAAAATCTATGTGGTTATTAAACTTTGCACATTAGCATTCTTTAGTGTAAAAGTCCCTTATATTAGTCCATTTATACACGCTCTAATAGAGCTACCACTCTGGGTGGTGTTGAGAAGCAGTGGCGGAATAAACTCGGTCACCTTTTTCTGTATTTCGATGGAATCGACACTCAAATTATCAATAGTCGGGCAACACTAACAAACTGAACATTACAGACCTGTTTTTATTTTCAAACTTAGACAACTACTATAGTCTGGTCTGCGAGCACGTAGAATTTTGTCCAATGACCCCAAGCTACCCATCCTTATCGCTCGCGCGTAATTATGTTGCTGTCGCGCTCGCACACTCACTGCGGGCGCCCGTCGCACAGTCGCGACAGCAATATAATTACGCGCGAGCGATAAGGATGGGTAGCTTGGGGTCATTGGACAAAATTCTACGTGCTCACAGACCGGCCTTTAGCTGTTGCTAAGAAGGCGAAGGCAAAAACCTTTATCTGAATTTCGATGGAATCGACTCTCAAATTATCGACAGTCCGGCAACACTAGCAAAGTTGACATTACAGACCTGTTTTTTGAGTTTAGACGACGTTGGAAGTAAATATCTCGATCCAATACCCGTCGGGGTCCTGGATGAAGGCCAGCCCTCGCATCTTGCCGTCCTGCGGCTTTTTCACAAACTTCACGTCGTGCTGCTCGAACCTGGAGTTTGGATAAATAGTTTATTTAAATAAATAATAAATAACTTTGGACAATTTCACACAGCGCCATCCAGCCCCAATCATCATCATTTCAGCCATAGGACGTTCACTGCTGAACATAGGCTTCCCCAATGCTTTCCATGTTGATCAATTGGTAAAGCCTGGTCCGTGAGCATGTAGAATTTTGTCCAATGACCCCAAGCTACCCATCCTTATCGCTCGCGCGTAATTATATTGCTGTCGCGACTATGCGACGCGCGCCCGCAGTGAGTGTGCGAGCGCGACAGCAACATAATTACGCGCGGGCGATAAGGATGGGTAGCTTGGGGTCATTGGACAAAATTCTACGTGCTCACGGACCAGGCTTTAGCGGTCTGCGTCCAGCGCTTCCCTGCTACCTTTATGATGTCATCGGTCCACCTTGTGGGTGGACGTCCCACGCTGTCCAACCATAATGTAAGCAATTAATATGCTATACATACATATTAAACATAGTAAGTAATAGTGCCACCCAGACCCATCACAGAAATTAAAATTCAATATCTGCCCGGCCGGGAATCGAACCCGGGACCTTTCGGCATAGTAGTCCCGTTCCGAACCACTACACCAAACGGCCGACAAACTTGTTATCTTCTAAATATATATAACTCAAAGGTGACTGACTGACATAGTGATCTATCAACGCACAGCCCAAACCACTGGACGGATCGGGCTGAAATTTGGCATGCCGGTAGATGTTATGACGTAGGCATCCGCTAAGAAAAGATTTTACGAAACTCCACGCGCTAGTCTGTTTATAAAGTTTTATCAATCTAATAATATTGATACCATTTGATAAGCATAGATAATATCACTGACCTAGCACAAGCGGCTTCCACGTCAGGTACCCATATTCCAATATGGCCGAAGCCCCTCGGGTCCGAGTTGCCATTATGGTAGCAGGAATCGTCGCTCTCCGTACCCCAGTTGCTGGAAAGAAATGGAAGAAACGTATTAATTAATTGGTTCATCGTCGCTATAGTAATTAGCCAATACATATTTATTGGCCAACTTGCCTAAAATGAAAAGAAACAAGCCTAATGGAAGTTATTAAGAGAGGAAAAGAGACAAATATTTTTTTCTGAGCAATATGCAGTCCAATGTAGTAAATATTTTTGTCTTTTACTTATTAACAATCCAATATGCCAATAACTATGTATAGGCCAATTACTATAGCAATCACCCTAGTTAGTGGGTGTTAGTGGGTTTAGTTGGGTTTGATGATAGTTTGTTTCAAAATTTTTAAAATGACTTGAAAAAATCTAACTGCCTCAGACAATATTCGAACCCACGACCTTTCACTTGCCGGGCGACTGCTCTTCCATCTTTTGTTTCATTTCAAAAACTGAAATTCGATTTGAGAAAAATGTATGTGGCAATGGACGAGCCACATAGCTAGTAGAACAGATGGTCGATGGGGCAGAAAAGTTCTCCTGTGGCGACTACTGATTTGAACTGGTATAGGCATGCATCTCACTCGGTGGACCGACGATCTAGTCCTGGAAGCAGGCGGCGTACGATCGTTGTGGAAATCTTTGGAGGAGGCCTATGTTCAGCAGTGGACAAAATGTACAGTAGAGACAAAACCTGTTGATGGTGACTTCATCATCATCATCATTTCAGCCATAGGACGTCCACTGCTGAACATAGGCCTCCCCCAATGCTTTCCATGTTGATCCAAGGAGGAGGCTGACAATAGTTTTATGAGTTTTTTATAATCGATTGGTAGTGGATGATGATGACTTAATGGTGAAAATATCAAGGAGTTACTCACTACGTAAGTTCCAACGTAGCCTTCCTCGTCAACGCCCAGGCGGACCTCACAGCTTCATCCTGGGGCACGTCAGCCGGATTCTCGTAGCCCATGAAGAACAGAGAGAACTTCATCTCTGGGAAGTGGAGTTGCTTCAGCAAAGTCATGCCCAGCACTCCGGTGTAGAACGGAATCGACTTCCTGGGGTCTTTGATGCGGTACATCGTTTGTTGGAACATGAAGTCCTGGAAATAGAAGCATGATAAGCTTTAGAAAGAAAGAAAAAAAAATTTAATCCAAAATCCAAGTCACTACAACATCAGTGTAAGTACATACAGTTTATTGTTCAATTTGAACCCACCAGTTTGAACCAAAATGGCCACTCTGCATGGTGTTATGCTTTAGGTTCTATAGTCTGGTCTGTGAGCACGTAGAGTTTTGTCCAATGACCCCAAGCTACCCATCCTTATCGCTCGCGCGTAATTATATTGCTGTCGCGACAGTGAGTGTGCGAGCGTGCGTGCTCACAGGCCGGGCTTTAGACGCTATAACGCTGGCATTCTGTGGCAGCCATATTATGTAAATACACTTAGATTAATAAAAGAATACACTCAAAACTCAAAAGTTTCAACCCATGCTCATAGTCATAGCATGCTTATCAACCTGGAAAGGGATCAACACATGTGTCTCTTTAAACGTGTATAGAACATAAAATATAGATAACTAGCTTTCCGCCCGCGGCTTCGCCCGCGTGGAATTTTGTCTACCACAGAAAAACTTTATCGCGCGCGTCCCTGTTTCAAAAACCGGGACAAACACTATCCTATGTCCTTTCCCGGGACTCAAACTATCTCTATGCCAAATTTCATCAAAATTGGTTCAGTGGTTTAGGCGTGAAAGCAAGACATACAGACAGAGTTACTTTCGCATTTATAATATTAGTATAGATAGTAGATATTATCTGTGGTATACATAGATAAACTAATATTAATGACATTTTTATGGCTGACATCATTATTTTATTATTATGGTTATTTGCATTTTATTACTGTAGGTTTGTTGTGGACACGACGAAGAAGAATTATTATGGTCTTAGGAAAAACTTATTGAATTTTTTTTCAAATAGGCAACTTCAAAAAAAAAACGTAAAATACAAAACCAGTATAAACTAGCAAGTCATACAATAAAACAGACTTAAAGATAATAATATTGAATGATGATAAACAGCAAAAATGTATCTAATCATTGAACCGAACAGCAACAGGCAGTATTATGATAACACAAGAAAAAGATAAAGTTTGGTAGTGATCCGGTTAATGTTTTATTTATTTAATAATAAATTACACAAAGCATTATTTTTGATAATGGTTTTATCAATCACTTGTATTCACAAACAAAGTATAATTAACTGGTTAAATTAGCTTTGATTTATGAACCATTTTCTGTCTTGGTACCAACTGTCTTCGTTATTAAAAACATTTTATCAGACCAATCAAAAATCATAGACATTGTAGAACAAATTTTCCAATTGTTTGCGACCAACATTAGTTCAATTTTGCTGGTCTTGTATAGAATCAGTCTCATAGGCATTACCAAGCACAAGAATCTATATCTATCTATATATATATAAAAATGAAATCCGTTTTCCGTTGTCACGACATAACATGAAAACGGCTTGACCGATTTGTCTGATTTTTTTTTGTAGTTTTCTAATACTCTGTACAAGGTTTTTACAGAAATAAATATAAAGAAAATCTCTACGCTAAGGCGGTACGAAGTTCGCCGGGTCAGCTAGTTTAAAATAAAATAGAAAAACACAGGTCTCAATGTGTAATTTTTTTATATGACTTACATGTACTCACGGCTTGACGTTTCGGCTGCAAGAATTTAGCTTTAAAATTGTACTGGAATTATACCTAGCCTATTACAGTATGAAACTTGACACTCAATTAATTAGAACTATTTGGTTTATTAAAGAGGTATGTATTTTATGACGGCCAACTGTCACTAAACTTTATTATGGATTGTCCCGAGCAATATTAAGTTACAACAAGAGGCCATAGGAAATGAGTTTCTAAGTAACTTTAAGACCAAACTAGGTATTCAAAACTACAAACTACTTCAATGATTTGTGTTACCAAAGTTTAAATTGTTAGGTATGAGTCAAGCTTAGGTAAAACATGATATTTTAAACTTTCTTAGCATTTTCTCTTAAAAACTAGAGTCAATGTGGCAAAACTGTAATTTATCGCGTATTCAGCACAGTATAAAATTACATAGGTAAGTATTCTTGGATACCTACCATGCCGCAAAAATGTCTAGGTAAGTAAGTGTACTCTACAGTTCTGTACCCCCAGTGAAAAGGGATCTAACTCGACTTAGATCAAAATTGACTTTATAACATAATGTGAATCTCTGAAAAATTAGCTATTTTTGTATCTAATCGGTATGTTTCTACGACGTATAGAAAAGAAAATAATTTTGTGCCAAATGATACAAGTAAGGCTTTGTGAACCAATTTTGAGTTTTCTTTCGTGTATATTGATACATGTCTACTTTTAACAAAGTGTACCGGAGGCTTCTTTCAATTTTTTATTGTGTCAAGAGGTAC